CATCAGGTAAATGCAAATCAGAACCACAAGGAGCTGTCACCTCACACCTGGTAGAACGGCTATCATCAAAATTAAGAAATAACAGGTGTTGGGGAGGACGTGCAGAAGAGGGAACCCTTGTGCACTCTTGGTGGTACAGCCACTATGAAAAACAATATGATGGAGACTTCTCAAAAAATTAAGAATAGAGTTACTATAGGATCCAACAATCCCTCTTGTGGGTACATACCCCCCACCAAAAAAAAAAATTGAAAACACATTCGTAAAGATATTTGTATCCTTATATTTATTGCAGCATTATTTACAATAGCCAAGACATGTAAATAACCTACGTGTCCTGACGGATGTTGGAATAAAGAAGATGTGGTACATATATACAGTGGAATTATACTCAGACATAAAAAAAGATGAACTATTACCATTTGGGACAACATGGATGAATCTTGAGAGGATTAGGCTAAGTGAAACAAAGCAGACAGAAAAGGACAAAACCCGAATGATTTCACTCAGACGTGGGATATAAAACAAAAAGCAACAAATGAACTAATAAAACAAACAAACAAAAACCAAACTCACAGATTCAGTCAACAACATGGTGGTTACCAGAGGGGCAAGGGGTTAGAGCAGTGGTTCTCAACCTTGGCTGCACGTTAGAACCACCTGGGAATCTTTTTTAAATCCTGATTTCTGGGCCTCATCCTCCGGAAATTCTGTTGCTTTGTTACTCATGTTGTGGCCCCACCCCATAACAAAGAAACAGAATTTCCAGAGGATGAGGCCCAGAAATCAGGATTTTAAAAAGACTCCCAGGTGATTCTCATGTGCAGCCAAGGTTGAGAACCACTGGGTTAGAGGGAGAACGAAGAGGGTCAAATACATGGTGACGACAGGAGGCTAGAGTAGACACTGGGTGGTCAGCTCTCAGTGGAATAGACAGATGTTACACTATAAAGATGTACACCTGAAATTTACAGTGTTTTTAACCAATGTTACCCTAATACATTGTTTAAAAATGAGGTTCCGGAATGGTATACATAGTATGATGCCATTTGCAAAATATGTAATATTTTTAAAATGTATGTGTAAGTGTAGATAATTTAAAATGAATATATCCAAGAAATAAATGATTGAGAGCTATACCATGGAGAGAAGAGTGGCCAGCCCTTCTGAGAAGTTTTGCTGTGAAGGGAAGAGACTGGGATAGCTGGCGTGGGAGGCACAGGGTCTGAGGAGGCCTAGGATTTGTTGGAAATGGACAGCACTGCATTTCAATTGCCTGCGGATGGGAACGAACTAGTAGAGAGACTTAAAATAAGAAACCATAAGGAGGCAGTGCCCTCGGCGGTCCTGGCTCTGCCTCTTGCTTCAACAGTGTTTGGACGGAACAGGCCCCAGGACACCCTTCTTCCAGCCTCCGGCCACTCGCTAGCACAGTGGTTCTCAACCTGTGTGTCGCGACCCCTTTGGCGGTGGAAGGACCCTTTCACAGGGGTCGCCTAAGACCATCCTGCATATCAGATATTTACATGACGATTCATAACAGTAGCAACATTACAGTTATGAAGTAGCAACGAAAATAATTTTATGGTTGGGTCACAACATGAGGAACTGTATTAAAGGGCCAGAAGGTTGAGAACCACTGCTCTAGCGCCTTTTCCAGTCACCACCTTCAGAACCACCTTCAGAACCACCTCCGGGACCAGCCAACACACATGGTTTATTTCTACCTTAATCCTTATCGCCAAACAACCCGGGGCTCCTAAATCCGTCAGCATTATCCCACCCAGGGGGAGGCTGCCGTCAACCGCCTGGCCCCCTGCCTCTTCGGGCCCCCACACCTACCTCTCCCTGGGCTTTTGCTTCCACTGTGAAGACGTGGCTCTGGGGGGCAGGGCCGTTTCTTTCACAAGTTGGTGGAGAAGAAGCATGAAGCCCAGTGCGGTGGCCGCATCCTCTCCCAGGAGGCGCTGAGGCCCCCTGAGATGAGTGGGCAGAACTCAGGGCGCAACGTGCCCGGGTTCTGCCCACACAGACCCTCAGCTCTGACTTCCTGCAGCACCACTTCCGGGTGAGGAGGTGAAACTCATCAAGAAGATGGACCACACCTGGCTCCCCTCCGCAGGCTGCCGCCCCCAGGCTGGGCTGGGCGAGTGTCTCTTGGAAAGGCTCACCCTCAATCACGACTGGAGCCTGTGGAGCCCAGGGGCCTTTGAGGGGCCCCTCTGCATCCCCTGGTGTCTGCCTTTTACCTGAGCTTCTCCCCGAAACTCCTAGCCATGCTTTTAACCACCCTGAAGCCCTCTCCCATGCATTGGACCAAATGGAACAATAAAGCTTTTTGTAGCAAAGAATACATAAAGAGCCGGACTGTGTTGCTCAATGGTTGAGCCCCTCCCTATGAAACAAGAGATCCCCAGTTCAGTTCCTGAACAGGGCACATGCCCAGGTTGTGGGTTTAATCCCCAGTCGGGAGGGTGGCGGGGACGTGCAGGAGGCAGCCAATCGACGTTTCTCATCATCCATGTTTCTATCTCTCTATCTCTTCCTCTCTCTCTAAAAAAAATCAATAAAAACATTATATATATAAAAGAATACCTGCCCAGCTGGCATGACTCAACCTATGAACCAGGAGGTCACAGTCTGCAGGAAACAGCAGATTCTTGGAAAGGCTCCCCCTCAATCACGACTGGAGCCTGTGGAGCCCAGAGGCCTTTGAGGGGCCCTCTGCATCCCCTGGTGTCTGCCTTTTACCTGAGCCTCTCCCCGAAACTCCTAGCCATGCTTTTAACCACCCTGAAGCCCTCTCCCATGCATTGGACCAAATGGAACAATAAAGCTTTTTGTAGCAAAGAATGCATAAAGAGCCGGACTGTGTGGCTCAATGGTAGAGCCCCTCCCTATGAACCAAGAGATCCCCAGTTCAGTTCCTGAGCAGGGCACATTGTCAGGTTGTGGGTTTAATCCCCAGTCGGGAGGGTGGGGGGGGCGTGCAGGAGGCAGCCAATCGATGGCACATCCTTCAAATAGAGATAACATTGTTTATTTAAGAACCCTTAGAATAGATATACATGTTTCCTGAAGTTTATAAAAAATGTGCTGAACTGTCCTTGAAAATGAAAGAAGAAAGCCTGTCATTATTTGTGCCCCCAAAGGAGAAGAAGCCATTCTTCAAATAATGCTAAGCAGACTTGGGAGGCTTCTGCAGCAACACTATCAAGGGAACTTTGGAGATAAAGAGATGCAGTTTAAATGCAGAAATTTAGAAGATGAAGCTGGGCAGCAGAGCATCACAATTTCCCCCTTTGGCCAAGCGCACTGGGGCGCCAGGTCCAGCGGCTTCCACTCCACCTCTCTGCCCTCACCGCCACCCCTCTCTCCACACACGTCCTGCTTGTCCTTCCTCCCGGCGTGGCTCTCAGCCTCCCACCGGGTCTGTGGGCAGATGCTTGGTACTTGAGATGAGAAACGATGAGTGCTTGAACGGTGGCAATGGATGAAGTGGAAATGAGTTTGTAGGTGTTTAGGAGGCGGACTCTTCAAGAAGCGATGGCTAACTGGGTATGGGGGTGAGTGACGCTAAAAGGGGTCTGGTGTGCCTGAAAGGCAAGCCCAGAGGACCTCAGGACAATGATGGACCCGCCCCTTCTGAGGGCTGTGGACCATGCTGTCGCCACTCCGAATGAACCAATCTGCTCTGGAGAGAGTCCCCACAATCCACCTTGTCTATGAACCAAAACTAAAGTGCTTCCCCCCACCAGCACCACGCACTGCACATCACACCACACGCTGCCTTCTCTGCTGAGCGGAGCGCTTCCTCTGGGCGTGCGTTATTTTTGCCCTCTGCCCCTGGATGTCTGTGAAGTCTGCAGAGCTTGCAGAAGCACGCTGCGCTGGGCCTGGTCCTGAATCTACTGCTTTCTAGTTGTGATCCAGCGTCACAGACTCCGTTTTCCATCTCACAGGGTGGTTGCCTGTGGCTGGCATATTGCCCTTAAAGGGTCTGGGAGGCCGGGGGTTAAGCCTTCCCCTGAAGACTCCAGTACCCAATTTCCCCTTTCGGCCCCTCCCACCAAGCGCACTGGGGCCCCAAGTCCAGCTGCCTCCACTCCACCTCTCTGCCCTCACCGCCACCCCTCTCTCCACACAGGTCCTGCTTTTTCTTCCTCCCTGCATGGCTCTAAGCCTCCCACGGGGTCTGTGGGCAGACGTCCTCCCCAGGGTCAAGGCTCTGTGTGGGGCGCTGCCGGTGCTGCCACCCCTGCAGACTTTGGACCCTGCCGGGGTGTAGGAGAGCCCAGGGCAGGCAGCAAGCCCAACAGCACTGTCATCTGCAGGGTCCCATGGGAGGGGAGTGGGCGATGGCCACCCCACCCCCAGGTGCGTACCTGTCTTGGGAGACAGTCCGATGGCTCCAGGATACAGCGCAGATGAGCTTGTCTGTCTGTGGTTCCATGGGTCCGGTCAGCTAGTGAGCACTGCTGTCGTTGTCTGCTTCTCTCCCTCCTTGTCCCTGGTCCCCTGCCCTTCTGTCCCTCTCCCTGTACCCTCCCTGGCTGACCGCTCTCTCCCCCCAGCCTGGGGCCAGAGTCTCACTCCGCCCTCCTCTGCAGGAGCCAACCCGCTGGCCTCTGGGCCGCCAGCCCATAAAACCTGCCTGCCTGCCTGCGGGAGCGCTGAGCTGCTGCGGCTGGTCACCCCTCGCCGGCAGCGGGCGACTCAGACGGCCCTGACCCTGCCTCCAAACAGACATCTATCTGCTTTCTGCTTCCAGAAAAGTTTGGAGAAAGCGAACTAGGGGTGGATCCGGGGCTGGTGCAGCTCCCCAAGCCTTCTTGTCCTTCCAGAAGCCTCACCCTGCACAGCTTCTTCCATTCTGCCCTTCCTGACACCCCCTTCTCTTCGCTCCCAGGTTCCCCTCCCGTCTTCCTTATCTCCTGCTCCTTTCTTCTCTCTATCCTTATCCTCTACTGGAGCCTTTCCCCTGCGGTCCTGCCCTTCTTTCTCTCCATCAAACTCCAGTTCATCCCTAAACTTCTCCTTGCACCCCACTCTCCACCTGTCCCTCTCCTGTCCCCCCTTCCCTCCCAGCAAACTCCCACCATGGATTCTGGGCCGCGCTGGGCTGCCGACCCCATTCCCGGGGGCACTCTCTCGGCCCCCAATGCCACCACACCCTGGCTGGGCCGGGATGAGGAGCTGGCCAAGGTGGAGATCGGGGTCCTGGCCGTGGTCCTGGTGCTGGCGACGGGGGGCAACCTGACCGTGCTGCTGACCCTGGGCCAGCAGGGCCGCCAGCGCGCCCGCATGCACCTGTTTGTGCGGCACTTGGCCCTGACCGACCTGGGCATGGCGGTCTTCCAGGTGCTGCCCCAGCTGCTATGGGACATCACCTACCGCTTCCAGGGCCCCGACCTCGTCTGCCGGGCCGTCAAGTACCTGCAGGCGCTCAGCATGTTCGCTTCCACCTACATGCTGCTGGCCATGACCCTGGACCGCTACCTGGCCGTGTGTCACCCCCTGCGCAGCCTCCAGCAGCCCAGCCAGTCTGCCTACCCGCTCCTCGCCGCTCCCTGGCTGTTGGCCGCCATCCTCAGCCTCCCTCAAGTCTTCATTTTTTCTCTGCGGGAAGTAACCCAGGGCTCGGGGGTGCTGGACTGCTGGGCAGACTTTCGTTTCTCTTGGGGGCCACGGGCCTACATCACCTGGACTGCCTTGGCCATCTTCATCCTGCCCGTGGCCATGCTCACAGCCTGCTACAGCCTCATCTGCTACGAGATTTGTAAGAACCTAAAAGTCAAGACACAGACCTGGAGGGTGGGAGGAGGGGGCAGCAGGACGCGGGACAGGGCCTCGCCTTCGGGCCCAGCTGCAGCCACCAGGGGGCTGCCCTCTCGGGTCAGCAGTATCAGCACTATCTCTCGGGCCAAGATCAGAACCGTGAAGATGACCTTCATCATTGTGCTGGCCTACATCTCCTGCTGGGCCCCCTTTTTCAGCGTCCAGATGTGGACTGTGTGGGACAAGAACGCCCCGAATGAAGGCAAGTGTGTGGTCGGGATGGGGGGTGGGGGGAAAGCTTGGGGCAAGTGGAGAAGAGCAGGCAAGGGGAGCAGGGGGATTAGGACAGCGCCACAGTGCCTCCCAGGGCGCCCTTTCCTGCCTGCCTGCGGTGTCCGCCACCATGAGCCTGTCCCTCAATCCCATGTCCCTCACCTGTGCAGAGTGATTTTCTACTCAGCACGTGCCTCTCTGAGCAAGGAGTGCAGTCGAGTGTTATCTTATAAGCCATGTGCTCTTTCGGGAAAATGGAAACCCTTTGGGGCCCTTTTCGCTGGGCTGAGATCCATTTCCTTAAACTTACTCTCCAGTCCACCCAGTTTGCCCCCACAGCACACTGGGCTCCTGGCTTCCTGTCCCTGGGTCTTTGTCAGAGGCTGCCCGTCTCCTTGCCCCGGCCCCGACAGCTGGCTGAGTTATTGCCAGGACACAGCAGGTGCCTGTGACAGAATGAGTGGGACTGCCCCCGAGGGCTCAAGGGCAGAACCCAGAAGCCAGTGTGCACCCCAATCTATGACATCAATGAGGATGGGGGTACCCGGACCTGGCCTAAAGTCATGGTTATGTTCCCTGCATGTTCTACGAAAGTCGCCTTATCCTAGTTCTGCCTCCATTAGAAAATTCAAGGTCTGGGTTTGGAACAAAGACAGTGCCTCCTATTTGGGCTGCTCCTATCTAACTCTGAGGTCAACTTGGAGCAAACCTCGTAGTTACAAAAAAAGCCAGAGAGGTAAGACTCTGGAGTTGGGGGTCCCAGGTTCAAGTCTCAGCTGTGCTCCCCCTCACGAAAGAACCCCTGTGAGTCCCTTCTCCGTCCCCACCCCTTCCCCCGTTCAGCGCGGCCTGGATTCTCTCCCAGGCCCCTCCCAGCTGTCCGTCTAAGGCTTCTGGGCTTCTCTCTCGGCAGATTCCACCAATGTGGCTTTCACCATCTCCATGCTGCTGGGCAACCTCAGCAGCTGCTGCAACCCCTGGATCTACATGGGCTTCAACAGCCACCTGTGGCCGCACCCCCTCCGCCATCTGGCCTGCTGTGGGGGTCCTCGGCCCCAGATGCGCAGGCAGCTCTCCCACGGCAGCTTCTCCAGCCGCCGCACCACGCTGCTGCTGACCCGCTCCAGCTGCCCGCCCGCCCTCGGTGGGAGGCCTGGGCCTGAAGGGCCACTGAAGGGCTCAGAGCAGGTGGACGGGGAAGGCATCACTGAGATGGACATCTTTTAGGGAACACTCCCGGGAGCCTGGCACTGCCCACGGGTCTATAGGAGGGTGTCTGTGCATCTCAGCACTGGGTGCAAATGCTGGGAGGGTCAGGGCTGGAGTTAGGGGAGCCCAGTTTGAGGCCGTGTGAAAAAGCCAGAATGGCTACCCTGGGCGCCTGGCCTACCCTCAGGTGCTCCCAGTCTCACATGCTGGGAGTCAGGGAGAATCAAACTGTGGGCTCCCTGATCCTGCCGTACTCACTGGGTGTCTGGGGAACACACCCACGTGGATGATGTGGTGCCCAGATCTGAAGGCAGGTCTAGGACGGCCCTGCCTGGGGCGCCACGGGTGGCTGGAACTCAGAGGCTGGTCTCCTACTTGGCTACTTGTCCCCAACCTCACCTGACCAGCAGAGCCAGCCCGACCAGGAGAGGAGAGAAGTGAAAAACTATCAGGAAGACCCTATGTGAATCCTGGATTTTTAAATTTAAAAATTTTTATTTTTTTGTAGAGGGAGGATTGTTTGATGAAGACAAATGAATGGGTCTGGGCGCTTCACCTGCTATGCCCACGTGCCCACTGGAGAGAGATATAATATTTAGTACAGCACCAGGTACTCTGCAAGTTCAAGTTCCTTTTCTCCCCACACACCCACCCCCCTTTATAGGATGGGGGCAAAGTGTTGTGTATTTTCAGTGGTATTACCCACTGAGGGTGAGGGTGAGAAAAAGGCGTGTGGCGAGGAGAGGATGATAATGGTCATGATCAAATTAAGAATGGAGGAAGCCTCAAAGGCAGCAGGGAGGGTTGCTCTCCCCGCTGCTCCCAGCGTCCAGACAGCTCCTTCCTCTGGGGCTGCACGGAGGAGACGTCCTTTGAGAAGTGTGATGGGTCATGGCGCTGGATTTACTCGAGGCTCATCAGAGCTCCCACGCAAATGTATGCGTGCTGTGCCCAAGCAGGAGCCGGGATTTCACACTCGTCTCTGCCTTCAGGTCACCATCCCACCTTGGGCAAGTCACCTCTCGGGGCCTCCATCTCCTCGCCTGTAGAACAGAGGTGCCCTCTAAGGTCTTTCTCAGCTCTGACCCTTCATGACTTTGCAAGACTGGAAATGACATTACAACGGAGAAACACAAAGGGCTCTAACCAACAGGCTCTAGAAGACTTGTTGGATTTTCATGACAATGACATTTATAATCTGACTCATTTCTGGTGACTGTGGCCCTTCCATGGCCATTCTGTCCGTTTTTGCCCTCAATCCTGTGGTGCCGATGCTGAGAGAGACAGCAGAGCAGGTAGAATCTGGGGCTCTGCCCTGAGTTATCGCCAGTGGGGCTTATGTCATGGGGTAGCTTTCCTGCCCTAATTCTGATCCTAACCTCAGAGATGGCCTTGACGGTAGAAAGAGCATCAGCTAAAAAGTCAGGAGAACTGGGTCCTGGTCCCATCACCATGCCGACCACTGAGGACCAACATAGGCGAAATGCTTGCCCTCTCAGCTGTGGGGGTCAAACAGGACTTTGGATAGGAAGCTTGTAAACCCATGCGCTCTACACTATCCATTCTTAGATTCTAAGAGATGGCTCAGCTAATGAGGAGCTCCTGAGAGCAGCTCTAGGAAACAGGTTCGATCTGCCCTCCTCTCCTAGGGAGGCTTTGAGGAATGACCGTAGCTTTGGGGATACACGTTTAGGAGGCCACTCGGCTTTGAGAAGACACCCTAGGTTTCTTGAAAAGAAAAGCACTAAACTGAGTGTTGTGAGTGAGCAAAGCATTCCAGCCCTTCAGTGCTAGAGACTGGAGGGTGGGGCACAGGGCCTAGGAGGGTGGGGCACAGGGCCTGGGAGGGTGGGACACAGTGTCTCCACTGCACTCTGCTGCCCAGGGGGGTCCCTGA